CAGGCGTTCTCGCTATCCGGGACTCTGGACCACAGAGCTAACGCCCCGCCAGGGAGCTCTTCAGTACCAGTGCCCTTCCGTTTGGTCTCCGACATACACACGACATCTAATTCTCTTTCTTTCATTATTTCGATCAACTCATTCGTCTTATCTCTCATGCCTCCTCTAACATTCCACGTGCCAACTCTGCACTCTGTCCTCCACCTTCCGCCGTGTCGGGCTGTGCGTGACGGGTGGCGGTCCCCATCGCCGCTTTGCACGCTACATTCCACACCAACGGGGACGAGAACTGTGTTTTCCTTTGTTATGTAGTATAAGCATCTATAAAACAAGCTATTGAAATTTTTTATTTTAGACATTGATCCTTATGGGTTAGGAATAAAAAGGATCTTAACTTAATAATTTCTTATATTTACGCGTGAACACGCCCCTAGCTGCCCCAACAAAGGTTGACGGGACTAGGGCCCATGAGTAATCCCATCGACGGCAACAAGGGACGGGGCCCAACGGCCTATGGACAATTGACCTACACAATAGAGATAAGGCTAGGTAAATAAATAGTACGTACCTGGTTCCGAAGCTAAGACCGCCTCAAGGCTCGGTCAGGCCGTAGGTAGGTGTAGGTGCATGTAAGTAGTGTATAGTAGTGTGTATAATGTTTAAACTGACTTAACCGTTGAAGTCGGACTGCAAATCCAGCGTTGCCTCTCTCCAAAGGTGGTAGTTCACTTTATCCGACCTCAAGTCTGACGTCACTTCACTATTTCAGTTTATCAATTTTATTGTGCATTTAATTAACTTCAAACTCAACTAAATCCCCGTTAATCGTAATCAAAAAAGTAACACACGGCACGAACAATAAACGGTGGGTCAAAGTTCACTTCCGTTTCACGTAGCAACAAGATTATAACCACGAACAAGAACGCGATCTCTTCTTGAGTCACAAAGTTCAGCGTTACAACCGACAAACTAAATTCCTTCGTACGGTGGGTCAAAGTTCAAAGTCAAAGGGAAGCTGCATACCGCTGCCCCCCCCCCCCCCCGCCACGGCGACCGCATGTCACCTCACACCATCGAGCGATTCGCTTAGTCAACGCGATTGGATGGCGTTTCAAATGACCATGTTTGGGCAACAAACACTCGTTCCGGACATAAGGACTTATGTCCGCGAGCAAACCGGCAAGCGGGACAGGGTCGCGACGGCACGTTGCAAGACCGCATCTACAACCGAAACCAGGCCACCTTAGGCACCCCATCAGATCTTGCAACCCCAACCACCGCCTCAAAAATACCGCCCCAATGTGGGCAAGCCGGAGGGTCGAACCTCCACTGGATGCCCTTCCTGGACATCGCAGCACCTAAATAAGTCCTGTTACTGGACAGAAGTCCGACGACCTCCTTCAAACACCTATCTGTGCCCCTATGATTCGTTCCGCAATCCGACCAGATCAGGTCTGCAAACAGCGACGCGATACGAAGCGGCCCAGCATGGCCACAAAGGCTTCAGTGCTAAGGGCACTTACAAGTTTCACATGAATGGCGTCTGTGGAGAGGCAAACGAAACGCACAGATAGTCCTTAGTACGATTTTTCAAGCAAGTAGGCATAACCAAGCCATCTACCATATAATCATTTACTCAATTCTGCGGCAGCTGATTTCAATCTGATAATCTTACAACTAGCTAGCCCTTTGAGACATGTAGTGCTATGCTCATATTTCAACCAAATTTCAAAAGCATCAATGTTCAACTACTGAATTAATTCAAACAAATTAAACAAAACGATAAACGTAAGAGACAGCCCTATTTCTCTTTCCAAATAAATATCTTCGATAGTGCCAACATAATGTGAAAACAAAGAAAGGAATGATTCTTATTCCTTATGGCACAAATAGTGTTATTCAATTTCAATTTTCTTTTCCACAAAGCAAACATAATGATCAAATATATTTACAAGAACATATGTACACGTATTCAAAGGGCACATTAAATTCGCCTTTTTACTAACAACCGCTACAACTATGAAATATTTCGCGGAAAACCCAAAGCATTTTTATTTTTAATTTAATGTATTATTAATTAAGTGCTCGACCAAAGCCAAATCTAATACTCCTTGACAGCGTGATTCAACGCTCCAGGGGAGCCCTAATCTTCCCACCAACCAAGTGGAGGCCACACAGCGTTGTGAACCCGAATTCAATAGAGCGCGAACCGCTAACAGTCGCCACTCGGGTTGTACGCCTTCACTGAGGCCATCGGCAACAGAACAGTTTGACAAGTGGACTGTTGACGGCTCAAAGGCTCAGTGGAGGCGGCTGTGGTGGGAGCTAGGGCGGCAGCTAGCTAGGGCTGCCTCCATCAAAGGGGGGACGGCGGTACCCCAGCCGCGGCCACTCAGCTAACGAGGGTGAGAAGGGTCTAGCTGAGTGCTGAGTGGCCGTGAAGTTCCTCTCCACATGCTGAGGAGGGGCGACGACACCCCCGCCCCTGGGGGGACGACCCCCCGACTGGTCGGGGGAGGGACTCCTTTCAAATCTAGGGGCTCGGTGGCTGGCGCCCGACAGAGGGCGCAGCTGAGCGCCCCCGCCCGTGTGGATCGAGGGCCCGGCAGAGCCCCGAGAGGAGCCGCCGTTCGCACCCAGGCACAAAACTGCATGGTGATTGCCCTGGCAATGCGGACAGGGCCGCTGGTGTGGGCAGTCTCGCTGGAGGTGCCTTTCCAAACAAGAGTAGCACCAGCGGCGCTCCTTGGCGATAGTTCGCCTAGCCGGAACCGGCTTACCTAATAACTTTGGGCACGACGGCACCCGGTGATCGGAAGCTCGGCAATAGGAACAGGGGGGCGCCTCCCTGGCCACTAGGCGACTGTAAGATGGTAGGGAGCTGCGCCCTCTCGCGGGAGCTCCGATCGGCTTTAGGGGGGTTGACGACGACTTGCCCGGCGGATCCCGCCTCTCACTCGGCACGGCTCGTAAGTCGTCAACGGTGCCCGCCGCGTTCTCAATTTGCCGGCACTGCTCCTCCAAGAACCGCAGCAGATCACTAAAGGGCGGAATATAGGAGGCGCCGTCCCCGCCATACCTCTCCTTAAAATGTATCGTAAGGTCGAGAGGCAAGCGGGACAGCACGATGTGGAGCAATAAGAAGGACCATTCATCCACCGGTAAATCCAGCCGCCTCAACGCATTACAGGCCACCAAGACTGGATTCACGATGTCTGGGCGTAGTCTGGCCCGGTCCCTAAGCAGTGGGAGGCTTAGAAGCTGCCTGACGTATTCGTCCGCAATTCGCCGGACGTTGGCGTATCTTATGGCGAGGAGGTCCCGAGCAGTCTGGTAGACGTCGTCCGACAATCTCAAATGGCCGACGACGCCCAGGGCCTCCCCCTCCAGTGAGGCTAGGAGGCACTAGGCTATCAAAAAGCCCTACGAAGGTCATCCAGTCGGAGAGGACCCCGAAGAACCTTGGCAGGTCCCGAGTTGGGATTCGTCCCAACAGCTCTTGCTGAGTAGGCCGCTTCCGAGGGGACTCGGGCAAGCCACTCATCAGAGCTTCACGCGCTTCCTTAGCATACTTGGCCCCTGCCTCGATCAAGGCGTCCGTGAGCGAAAAGAACTGCTCATAGTCCGCGAGGCAGGAGTCCAGGACTCCCTTTACCGCATCCGAGGCCTCGAGCTCAGCGTAAGCCTCCTCCACTACGGCCCCCCGGGCTCGACCTGCTCGAGCCACTTCTCCAAACTATAGACCCTATCCGGTCGACCTATCAAAGCATGGGCGCTAGCGGCCCAACGCAGCTACGCCTTCAGGCGACGAATCGGTAGCTTGTGCGATGGCATCACTACTAAATACAATTAATTCGCGGCTCAAATACAAATCAAATTAACAAATAACAAATACAATTACGATCACATCAATTAAAATACAATTACACAAATACAAATTACTATTTATTAAATTAAATACAAATTACACTACACGGCAAGTACACACTACAGTCGGTCAGAAAAGATGCCTCGCTGAAACGACCGACCCATCGACAATTAATCTACTATAATTATACGACAACGATAATTTTCCGATTACGTGATAACAACCATCTACCTACCCGACGCGTACCTAGCCCTAACAAACTCCTGCTTGCGCAACCTAACGTCGTGGGACCTAAATCTACCCACCTATCCGCTAACAAACAAAGGAAGCAAACAACAAGGAAAATATTTTTATTATTACTTATTACGGCCGGGCGTGATTGTAGAAACAATCAACCGCGCTTCTGCTACCAAAAATGTACACGCCCCTAGCTGCCCCAACAAAGTTTGACGGGACTAGGGCCCATGAGTAATCCTATCGACGGGCAACAAGGGACGGGGCCCAACGGCCTATGGAAAATTGATCTACACAATAGAGATAAGGCTAGGTAAATAAATAGTACGTACCTGGTTCCGAAGCTAAGACCGCCCCAAGGCTCGGTCAGGCCGTAGGTAGGTGTAGGTGCATGTAAGTAGTGTATAGTAGTGTGTATAATGTTTGACCTGACTTAACCGTTGAAGTCGGACTGCAGATCCAGCGTTGCTTCTCTTCAAAGGTGGTAGTTCACTTTATCCGACCTCAAGTCTGACGTCACTTCACTGTTTCAGTTTATCAACTTTATTGTGCATTTAATTAACTTCAAACTCAACTAAATCCCCGTTAATCGTAATCAAAAAAGTAACACACGGCACGACCAATAAACGGTGGGTCAAAGTTCACTTCCGTTTCACGTAGCAACAAGATTATAACCACGAACAAGAACGCGATCTCTTCTTGAGTCACAAAGTTCAGCGTTACAACCGACAAACTAAATTCCTTCGTACGCTATTAAATACTACGCCCGCATTAAGATTCAAAATCAGCCTAGCTGACGCCCAAACTAACTATATAGACAATACACAAAAGGCACTTAACGCGACGGTACAGTTAAATATTAACTTCCAAACAATTAATCGACCCAGCGTCTATTTTTCTAGACTCCACAAACTCCTCGTCGTTGCATAAATTTGCTAACAAAAGCGACACTAATTAGAGGTTATACGGGACGACCTCACGCCGTGCTAGTTTCAAGCTACTGTCTCTCGCCCACGAGCGCTGAACGCCGGGAAGCTGCATACCGCTGCCCCCCCCCCCCCCGGCGACCGCACACCATCGGGCGATTCGCTTAGTCAACGCGATTGGATGGCGTTTCAAATGACCATGTTTGGGCCTAAACAACGCGAAATGTAAGAAATCATTAAGTTACTACGTCCCATAGTGAGCGAAATCGATTTACCAACTTACAGATTGGCTCAACACTTAGCGAAAATACTGCACACACAAAGTATTCCTATGATTTTGTCAGCGAGATTAATGACATACATCTGGCAGACAATGAAACTATGGTCAGTTTTGATGTGCAGTCTCTGTTCACATGCTCACCTATTGAAGACTGCATCTCGATTGTTACTAGAAGGCTGGAGGAAAACAACATGCTCGTAGAATATGCAGTATTACTCAGACACTGCCTTACATTTGGCTACCTATTGTGGAAGTAAGAGTTCTACAAGCAAATAGATGGAGTGGCGATGGGTTCACCTGTATCTCCCATTGTCGCCGATATATGCATGGAAGACTTTGAGGAGAAAGCCCTGCTTACTTCTCCCGTAATGCCAAGATTCCTCTCACAATTCTACCTTTAGATAAAGTAACTGCATTTTTAGACCATCTTAACTCCATAAATTCTAAAATTCAGTTCACAATGAAGTTAGAGGCAAACAATTCTTTAGCTTTTCTAGATGTGTTAGTAGTTCGGAATCCTGATAACACCTTGAGCCACACTGTGTATAGAAAAAAGACCCATACAGATAGATATTTAAACCTTGATTCTCATCGCCATCCATCACAGTTAGCTACCGTGGGTAAATCTTTGTTTCAGAGAGCACGAGGGATCTGTGACAGTAAACACCTGGCCGCCGAGCTCCAACACGTCAAGCAAGTTTTGCACGACAATAAGCTTCGGATCCCGCGCCTACGTCATAGTGAACGAGTGAAGCCGGCCACAGTCGAGCGAGTGCCTGCTGTACTGCCATATGTCAGAGGTGTCACTGACAAGATTGGCTACATCTTGAAGCGTACTTCCATTAAAACATACTTCAAGCCGCCGAAGAAGATTAGTCAGTTTTTACCATCAGTCAAGTGTAATGTCCCTCTCTGAAAGATGCAGGCGGCGAAAACACATCGAAACCTAAATCGCGCTAACAAAGTTCTGAAATTAAAACAGTATATATAGAATAGCTCCGAACTACCACTTGCAACGCTGGCTGCTCCCCGGGCAGAACACCTTGCCCGGCGGGAGATCTCCCCTTCTCCTTTCTATCGCCACATGTGTTACCACATAACTTTTTTTTTGGGTTATCCGATTTCGATGATTCTTTTTTTTATTTCAAAGCTGGTGCATTGCATGTGGTCCAAATAAATTTGATCAGGGTCTAACTGAGTTTTTTGAGTTATACTTAATAATTCATATTGAAGTCGGTTGTAAAAATTGTTAATTTTAAATTATCTCTGTTTAGATCAAGAGATCTTGCTAGCCATCTAATTCTTTCATTTATGCTTATCCAGATGTCTAAATTATTATTTAGATAAGCAGTGCATTTCCTACTATTTATGGTACCGTCATGTTGAAATATGTTATTAATTCGCTCCTCCTCCGACTGTTAGTTGAATTTGTTTCGTAGAAAGTTTAATGTTTCAAACACTTAAACCATCACAACCATGTTTCTTCTGATGCCACATGTGTATTTTTTATCACATTTCATCTACTTCTTGAAGCTTTTGGATAACTCTTGAAGTATGTCAAATATCTACATTTTGGTACTTTGGGCGTTGTACACATTTCTTGAAACTTCCGGTGTCTACTATTTTTTTTATCATTCGTAACAACAGTTCTTAACAGTGTCCATCTGTATACCTCTCCTCATACAACTGTGTAGTTATAATGGAACTTTTGTGGATTAAAAAGTAGGCTAATAGTATAAAATGAATAAGAAAATAAAAACATTTTACCGATATGTCCATTCCAATTTCAAAATTACAGTCTTACACATTAAAACGTTTTGTAGCTACACTTGACGTCTCGAGAAACATAGAAAACTCAGCTCCGAAAAGAGCTATTATATTATTATCAGCATGAAGCATAATGTTGTTCTATATGAAGCTATTTTACGAATGTATTAATACGCGCAGCAGGATTGGAGGAGAGGACAAAGTCTAAGTCACTTCGTTTATAGATCTCTACCATGCGCTTGGAATGTGAGTTCACGCGCGCTTTGTTTCCCAATAAACAACACAAAAATTCCTTTCGCTGATTTTTTTACGACCAATCACATGTTATATATATATATATATATATAGTTAATAATAAGATTTGGTAAGTTTGCGTTATAGGGGGCACGAATGAAACTACTGCTTGCAAGTAACACACTGATTTATTTCTTAACTATGACAATTATACTTATACGTAGTCGTACACAAGTACCCACCATTTCCTCCCCCTAGTTAACAACTACATAACTTAATTAAAGGAAACGACGATAGTCCACCTTGGGTAATGGGCGTAAACAAACCCTAGAACCCGGGTTGTTACGTGCAATGGTGGCCATAGGCTGATTAGCCACAGTGTCCATTGAAACTGGCTCCGACGATATGTTAGACTCATTGTTTACGTTAGTTGAGTTTACGTCATTTTGCACCGATTCTTCTTTCCCGCAGGTAGTTTGCGGCTCGTCTGAAGCCGGCATAGTGATATTTTCTTTCCTGGTGTTATCAGTTAAATTTTGACGGTCAAAATCAATGTCGAAATTTTGTTGTTCATCGTGACATGGTCCTTGGTCACGCATGATTTGATTTTTGTGTTTTTTTACACTTGCTGACGTATATATGTCCTTTATTATATACGTGACTTTGCCTATTCTTTTTATTACTACGCCACGACACCAATTATATGTATTATTATTTTTAAATTTTTTATACAAAACCTTTGCCCCGGTTTCAAAAGGCTTCGCATTTTTTCCCCCATTTGCCTTAATCTGCAAATACTGTTTGTTTTGGGCTTTATTTTCCAAGGATGTGGATGAAGGCGGTATAACATGGCTCATTAAGTCCAAACGTGATCTCAACTTGTGACCGAAAACTAATTGAGCAGGTGACAAAGAAGTTGTGCTATGTAAGGAGTTCCTATAATCGAATAAGAATTTAAGTAATTTTAATTTATATTCTTTTTTATTATTGTTATTAATTGAAAGTAAACATGACTTTAACCCCTTTTTCACTATTTTAACGTACACTTCAGCCTGACCGTTACTAGCGGGGTGATACGGCGGTGACGTTACATGTGTGATACCGTTAACCATACAGAAATTTTTAAACTCGTATGAAGTAAATGTAGCTGCGTTGTTGGTCACGACAGTTTGAGGTAATCCGAATCTCGATATATACTCGTAGAGTTTTTCGATCACAGACGACGAAGTAGACGGTACTTCGTATACTTCCACCCATTTTGTATAAGCATCCACAATTACTAAGTACATATGACCATGAAACGGTCCTAAGAAGTCCATATGGATCCTATAAAATGGTAATGGAGGATATTTCCATGGTGATATAAGCGTTCGTGGTGGGGAATGACGCAGCTGGGTGCATATTTTGCATGAACCGATCATTTTTTCTATGGCTGTATCAATACCCGGGAACCAAAACCTAGACCGAGCTTCCGCTTTTGTTTTTACCACACCAATATGGGAATTGTGTAACTCGGACAGAATCTTAAACCGCAACCGCTCAGGCAAAACTATTTTGTGCCCTCGTATTAAGCATCCATCTTCAAAAGATAACTGTGTTTTACATAAAAAGTAAGGTTTTTATGTTTATATCATACAGCTTTCTAGGCCATCCGTCCATCACATATTTTTTTACTTTATTTAGAACGTTATCCTTACTCGTGACGTCACGTAATATGTTACGTGTCACAGGAAAGCTACCATCTGTGACAAAGTTAATGTAAGATGCGCGGTCGAGTGTGTCAGCGCCTATGTGTATGCTTGAGCCGTCGCTGTTCACACTGCTCCCCGCGTTCCCCGTGATATCGGGCAAGCTCGCTCGCGATAAATAGTCCGCACAATTGTCTACGCTACGGATAAATAACGCATACCTTTGTAGCCTATTCGCAGACACTTCCGGGATACCTTTGTAAGGACCGAATATAGTTATGAGTGGTTTGTGGTCAGTGCGTAAAATAAATGGTTCCGATATTCCATATAAATATTGATAGAAACGTCTCACACCAAAAATAATTGCAGTTGCCTCCTTCTGGATTTGAGAGTACCTTTTTTCTGACGTATTTAAAGTGCGCGATGCAAAAGAAATAGGTCTCTCAACTCCGTCGCTGTCTACCTGTGATAACACCGCTCCTAACCCAGTCGGGGAAGCGTCGACAGTTAAAATTATTTTATTATTAGGGTTTAAAATGCACTAGGACTGTTTCGGACGCTTAACACTTTTTTATTTTATTAAAAGCGTCACTGTGTACACGCGACCAACACCACTGAGTACCTTTTTTCAAAAGATCGTATAGCGGACTTAGAATGCTAGATGCATTTTTTTACGAAATTTCTATAATAGTTAACCAACCCTAAAAACGACTGCAGTTTATTTGTGTTAGTTGGAACCGGTGCTTTTACAATTGCTTTTACCTTCTCATGTGACTTTTTTAACCCGTATTTATCAATAGTGTATCCTAAGTAATTTACTTCTTCTTGAAAGAATTCACATTTTTCTTTTTGTACTACTAGGCCTGCATCCCTTTAGTCTATTAAACACCGCGTGTAACCAATCGAGATGCTCGGTATCATTTTTTCCTGTGATTAAAATATCGTCTAAAAGGCATAGCACTCCATCTAACCCCGACAGTACACAATCCATCGCACGTCGGAAAAACGACGGCGCAGAGGAAAGTCCGAACACCATGCGCGTATATTTATATAACCCGCGATGAGTGTTGACACATGTGATTTTTAGTGAATCGTCATCCAAAATAAATTGGTTATATCGACAAGTCTATTTTGGAAAATTGTTGTCCGCCGTGTAATTTGGCAAATAACTCGTTTATTGACGGCAATGGATATTGTTCCACTATTAACTGCTTGTTAATACTTACTGAATAATCGGCACAAAGTCTTACAGTACCGTTTCGTTTTAATACCGGTACTATAGGAGAGGCGTATTCGGAATATTCCACGGGTTTTAAAATCCCTAAATCTACTAATCTGTCGATATCTTCGTCTATTTTATTTTTAAGTGAAAAAGCTACTGGCCGTGCTTTAAAAAAAATAGGCTGTGAATTTGGTTTTAATTGTAACTTTATATTTATTGAATGCACCAAGATTATCGGAAAACACTTCAGGATATTGTTGCTTGGCGTGCTCAGCAGAGCGAGACAGTATTTCATGCCGGCACATCGCTTGCAACTTTACAAAGCGCAAGTTCGACCCCACATGGAATACTGTTCTCATCTCTGGGCCGGGGCACCCCAGTGCCAGCTCCTTCCACTTGACCGCATCCAGCGCAGAGCGGTTAGAATCGTCGACGACCGAGTTCTTTCTTCTTTCTGATCGGCTCGATACACTGGCACTGCGTAGAGATGTTGCATCTCTTTGCGTATTTTATCGCATCTATCACGGGGAGTGCTCTGAGGAATTGTTCGGACTAATTCCAGCCGCTCAATTTCACCATCGCACATCGCGAAAAAATTCGCGTTACCATCCATACCATCTGGATGAATGGCGGTCCACTACTGTGCGATTTAGAAGAAGTTTTCTCCCTCGCACAACTTCCTTGTGGAATCAATTACCACCAGCGAATTTTCCGGACCGATACGACTTAGGAACCTTCAAGAAAAGAGCTTACACCTTTCTAAAAGGCCGGCAAAGCATCTGCAATTCCCCTGGTGTTGCGGTTGTTCATGGGTGGCGGTAGTCACTTACCATCAGGTGAGCCGCATGCTCGTTTGCCCCCTCTTCTATATAAAAAAAAACTAATTTAATTTTAAAAGTCGACATAAAATCACGACCCAATAACGGTGGTCCGCCGCCGGGCACTACGTAAACATTAAGTTCGGCCGTCTGCCCCGAGTATATTACCGGCACCCTTATTAGTCCTGCGGAATTAATATTGTTACCGGTATAAGATCCAATTTTTTAGCACTTCGCTGTAAGGGAATGCTATTAAAATATAAATCGTATGTGTCTTTAGATATTACCGACACCGCCGACCCACTATCAATTTCAAATTTCAACGGAATGCCATTAATTGTCACCAGCTCAATTATGGGTTCTCCATTCCTAGAATGTACGTTAAACAACTTCCCGTCGTCTCCGCTCTCATCCACCTCCTTAACTTCAACGTAATTCAATTTACACATTTTTTGTAAGTGACCTTTTTTATTACACTTATACTGTGCAAACCGATACTTTGCTGAACTGTGGTTAGAACGTCCACACACGGAACACTTTTCCACTCGTCTGGAATTGGGTGCACCTTCAGTGATCTTGAGAAGCTGATCTTCTTTGATGTCAGGGACCACCGCTGCTGCATATCCTGAGGCGGAGGTGGATGCGGCGATGCGCGCGCACCGTACCGTCTCTGCCAGTTCGACTGCCTTTGTCAAAGATAACTCTGCCAGTTCCTGCGCGAACAACTTCTCGCGCTCGGGTCCCGGCAACATCCCCATTACAAATCTATCCCGTAATGCTTCTTCTACATTGCTGAATGAGCAGTGAGCTGTCAACCCACGAAGCCTTACGGCCCACTGAACATGTGATTCGCCTGGATGTTGCTTTGCCGAGTAAAACGTACTTCTTTCACTAAACCCGTAACGCTTTGGTGTAAAATGTCTATCCAGGATGTTCAAGATATCCTCAAATGGCACCTCTTGGACTTCCTTAGGCAGTACAAGATCTGACGCTAGTTGGTATGTACCGTACCAGAGAGTGCGCTCAGGAGTATCGCTCTTCTTTTTTCCCCTCGTACATCAGTTGCAGAAGTAATATTGTTTGCAATGAACCACTGCGTGAGGCGGCCTTTGTACGTATTCCATGACTGCACATTGTGGTCAAAAATTGATAAAATTCCGAACTGCGTTGTGGGCATTTAAAAAAAATTATATGTGGGTATTCGTCGCCACTGGTAAGTATGCGTTATAGGGGGCACGAGTGAAACTACTGCTTGCAAGTAACACACTGATTTATTTCTTAACTATGACAATTATACTTATACGTAGTCGTACACAAGTACCCACCAAGATTCTTATTCGATGTTGTAATTGTAAGACTGTAAATATTTTACATTTTTACAATAAATAATTCTACTCGCTTCTACTGATTCTACTCCTACTCTTTCTACTCATTCGTACCCGTAAGATCAGCAAAGTGGTGATCCGTCAGGTCTGCAAAGTTTTATTTTGAAACTTGTCTCGTCTAATGCTTCCTCCACACTACTCGCGAAGTAACTTCGACGAAGTGCTCGTCGAAGTCGATCGCAGTCCGAAGAACGTGACCACACACTCGTGCTACTTCGCTAAGTGCCAGTCATCTTGAGTCTCCCGCACCCTTAACATGAATGACGTTCAAGAGGCAGCTGGTATAGACACCTAATTGTGTTAACAGTATGACGTCAATGAGCAAAATAAATAATTATGTAGAAAGTTACATATTTAATATTTAAATATAAAAAATATTCATAACTGGCGTACGCCGAGTAGTGTAGTCAGACGCTTCGTGTAACTTCGGGATACTTCGCGAAGTTCTTTGACTCTGGTGCAAAAAACCAACAGCGATCGGAAGTCGCCCGAGGCGAAGCTAGGTTGGACGAAGTGAATCGAAGTACCTCTCTACACTATTCGCCTCGTCCAACTTCGATCTACTTCGCGAGTAGTGTAGAGGAAGCATAAGAAATGGGCATACCTACTAGATATATAGATAATAATATTTCTAATTGTCTGTATTTTACAAAGAATTTATTTTAGCTGATATTTAACTTCATATAGTTTTTCTTTTATTTAGGTACTATAATAGAGGTTAGTGAGTTACTCTTATTGTGAAGTTTTACGAAAATAATACAAGGTCTTTTGACTTTTAAAAATAACAGTCTTGCTAGATTTCATGGTCTTTTATAATTTTAATGTTATCATAGTTGGTGTGTGTATTTAAAGTTCATATCGATTTGTTAAATAAAATAGCGACTATTTTTTTTTTAATTTTTAGTTGGTTCTCGTCTCAGATAAGCTGCTAGAAAAATATTTGAATGGGGTTATTTTTATTTTGAAAAACAAAGGAAAGTTTCCTTTGACATTTGATGTCTTCAATAATGAATGTACTTTCCTTCCATGTCCCGTTCATTTTTTCCACCCAGTATACTCCCCGATCAAATTACCACGCAAGTACTCTTCACAGATAACTATATACTGGTACTTTTCTTTCTTAGTCTGTGGATCAAGTCGTCGACGTCATCGCTGGCGGACATATTTGCCGTGTATCCGACATTTTGACGTTTATTTCCCGGCTGCTTGCCGTTTATCATTTATAAAAGAATTTATCTACTTTTGAGCTGTACCATCATGGATGAAGAATACGACGCAATCGTTTTGGGCACAGGGCTCAAAGAATGCATTCTTAGTGGAATGCTTTCTGTGTCGGGAAAAAAGGTATTACACATTGATCGGAATAAGTATTACGGTGGTGAATCTGCGTCAATTACTCCATTAGAAGAGTTATTCGCAAAGTTCAATGCACCGGCTCCGGATGAAACATATGGTCGAGGTCGTGACTGGAACGTGGACTTGATCCCTAAGTTTTTGATGGCTAATGGCCTTTTAGTGAAATTGCTTATCCACACGGGCGTAACCCGTTATTTGGAATTTAAGTCTGTGGAGGGCAGTTATGTTTACAAAGGCGGAAAAATTTCGAAAGTACCTGTCGATCAAAAGGAAGCTTTGGCATCTGACCTAATGGGCATGTTCGAAAAGAGACGTTTTCGCAACTTCCTTGTATATGTTCAAGATTTCCAGGAAGAAGACTGCAAAACCTGGAAAGATTTCGATCCTAGCACAGCTAATATGCAGTCACTGTATGATAAATTTGGTCTTGACAAAAATACCCAGGACTTTACTGGTCACGCATTAGCACTTTATCTTGATGACAGTTATTTGCAGCAACCGGCTATTCAGACAATTCGTCGTATTAAGCTATATTCCGATTCGCTTGCCCGATATGGTAAGTCTCCATACTTGTACCCTATGTATGGACTTGGTGAGTTGCCTCAAGGTTTTGCACGCCTTTCAGCAATTTATGGTGGTACTTATATGTTAGACAAGCCTATTGATGAGATTGTCCTTGGAGAGGGTGGTAAAGTAGTAGGTGTGCGCTCAGGAAATGAGATAGCTAAATGTAAACAAGTGTATTGTGACCCCAGTTATGTTCCTGATAGAGTTCGCAAGAAGGGTCAAGTTATTCGTTGCATTTGCCTTTTAGATCATCCTATAGCTAATACCAAGGATGCTTTATCTACTCAGATAATAATTCCTCAAAAGCAGGTGGGCAGGAATTCTGACATCTATGTGTCCCTGGTGTCATACACTCATCAAGTTGCTGCTAAAGGGTGGTTTATTGCTATGGTGTCTACTACCGTGGAAACTAAGGACCCAGAGTCAGAAATCAAACCTGGTTTGGACTTGTTGGGACCTATTCGACAGAAGTTTGTTTCTGTGTCTGATTATTTTGAGCCAACTGATGATGGCAGCCAAAGTCAAATCTTCATATCGGAATCCTATGATGCAACTACACACTTTGAGACCACTTGTTTAGATGTGCTCAAAATCTATAAGCGGGGCACTGATGAAGACTTTGATTTCTCCAAAGTGAAGGTAGAGTTGGGAGAAGAAGAGCAGTGAACTCGTATAACTTATGTATAATATTGCTTGTTAATTTAATATTTGTTTATATCTGGCTATAATAAACTTTATTAGGGTTTTTTGGGTAAAAACAATATAGAAGATGTATGTATAGAACATAACTTATTTTGTTGCTATTAAGTGCAGCAATGATTTTATTCCTACCAAAACATATTTAAGAAATATAAAAATATTACTATAGGATTTTATTCTCCATTTAAGATTGCTTTTATAATTTAAGATAATCAAGGCATAAAATGATCTGCACAAGTGGTAGATACATCAAAAAGCATTCCATTTTGGTACATCATTTCATCCTGTATCCATATCATACTCATAATTTATGTCAACTTATTGAATGCTCACTTTACAACTAAATGTTCTGTGTAAGGTCATAATAAAGTTACATTATAACATATCATGTTTTTTATTTGTGTAATAATTGATACAGCAGCTTAGTTTTAAAAAAATTTATAGTATAATGTATATGTTCTGATCTCTATAAATAAATCAAAACCCTTTTGATATTGATTTTTACTAATATTTTCTGTATGTTTACACAATATTTCTCTACTATATAAAGGAATGATAATTTGTAAAAATAGAAGGTAGTTTCTGCCATATAATATATGACACATAAATATAACACCTCACACTTTTAAAGTAGTCAAATATCTTAGACTACAAGAAGTCTCAAAGGAACAACATAAATATGTATAAATTGGTAATTTAACCAGAACAGAACTTAATTTACCTAAGTGTTCAACTTAGGTAAATTAAGTTCTGTTCTGGTTAAATTACCAATTTCTACAAAAAATATTCTATAACTTATAATTTTGGGTTTAATAAAAAAAAACTGTTAGGACATAATGTGATTTATTTGTGTAGTTAGAGGTTAACTAAGTATTTAATGCAGTATAGAAAATCATTTCGACAGCCAATATATATTTTGTTATCAAAAACAACTGGTGATGAGAATGTATCATTTGGAAATTGATACTCTGATAATATTGTTCCACAATCTGAATTTATTGCACACAATTTCCCATTAGTCGATACTGCAATAAGCAATCTATCATCTAGGCAGCAAGGTGTAGCATATACTGGTGAAGTTACTTCAGTTCTCCATTGTAAACTAGGGTGAAAATTTTTCACTGTAACACTGTAAACTCTATTATCATGACATCCAAATACAAACTGCCATTGCAAAGCTTCCAAATTTCTTATGTATAGTGAAGAAAAGATGTTTCCTTTAGCTCCTTGATATTTCCAAACCTGTAATGGGAATTTTTTTTGTTATGTATGTATCTTTAACACTGAATTTTTATCAGAAAAAGCTTTAGACTATTTCAGCTTTAATAATAATTATTGTAGTATTTAAGATGGGTTTGGTTTAGGGATTAGATCTTATAAATACCCTTATTAATTTAATACATGAGTAACAAAGCAGGTGTCTGCAAAAGTTCTACCCATTTTAGTGCATAAAAAATTGGTCAAAAATGACTGTTAATCTACATAATCACCATTCTTAACAATATAATACACATAACATCTTAATAACAATAACATCTAGGCACCTTTTAACCGACTTCATAAAACGGAGGTTTACAATTTGATGATATTGTGATTGGTTTTCTGCAATTCCATCATAAACAATTTTTTTAGAGTGTGTTTGGTTTTGTGACAGATGAACTCAGTTCATCAGTTCAACAATACAAATTACCAGTGCTTTATACTTTTGTAAAAGCCCATTTTTCATCACATATTAGCAATTTTCAAAATCCATCCAAATCTCTTACTACGTTATAGTGGAAACAAATATTTAGCTTGTCCATTTATTTACTTTTTCCGCTAGCTCATGTGAAACCCAATTCTCGGATTTACTCATAAAACCAAGTGCATGTATCCATTCGTTTTTCTTCCATAGTTCTATGTATCATATTTTAATTATTCAATGGTTGTTTGCTGATTAATCAACATAGCCTGATCAATATCCTTTTTCGAAAAATTTAAACGCCATCCATATCTTGGTTTATCTTCACAGCTTTTATTTCCTTTGCTGAATTTTAGAAACCAACGAAGGTTTTTTCGTTCATAGTGGTAGTGTCCATCTATACAAATAGGATTTCGATAACTTTCAGCTGCATTTTGACCTTTATCAAATTCATAAACTAAACAATGTCGTACCTACATGCAGGCCACGTTGACCACACGGAAATTTCAATTAAGTTAGGATTACTTACACAAGGGCTACTGCATTATAATTATCATAATCTGCTTAACATTTCTTTTTATTTAGTATACGGAATTTGGGAAACGGGTAGAACTTTTGCACTCAGCTAATAACAGTTGACTTGTGCTTAACTGGCCGTATTCAACTTCAAACAAAGACTGGCACCACAGAAATCGTAATAATAAGACACTAGAAGTCGCATCGACGCGTGACCTTGTCGCCGCTATGATGTGTTGACGGACATCATTTACACATTTTGTGATTTAGTTGCGCGGAACGTCGGACGTGAATTTATGTTATTATAATGGTGAACTGCAGCATAAACAGTTGTAAAAACTCATCAAGGACGTGTAATTCAACTAATAAAGGCATAACCTTTCATCGGAAAGTTGATTATTTACTAATTATCATTGTTATAATTAATTTACATCTAGATGAATACTTTACTATGATATTTACATTTGTAAACTTTCGTTTATAGTTTTCGTATTGTACATTACCATTGCTGCTTTTGTTCTATCGTAATACGCAACGTACGCGACGTTGACAAAATCGCCAAGTAATGTAATGTGAACACTAGATATCATTGTGAATTGCGTATGCTTATAATACGGCTGCAGGCATCGGTCGCACGTTAGTGGTGTAACCGTGTCATTCATTTGAATGAAAGCACGGGTTATATCGATGTTTGTATAAAGGGATATTTTTAGATTCTCGAACGTAAAAACTAAACAACATTTGAACGTAAAATATTCTTAATAATAATTATACAGTAATTTCATTAATTAAATTATTTGTTAAAATTTAATTATTTGTTTAAGTTTGCGTCTATAAATGTTTAGCATGCTGATAAATGTACAGAAAATGTTGTTTTTTTAGGAAGTATAAATAATTATATTTACTAGAACTTAATTATCAATTATTTCTAGATTCCCGAAAGATCCTGATATTAAAGAAAAATGGATAAATCTTACTGGTAGACAGGACTGGTTTCCTACAGAAAATAGTCGAATTTGTAATTTTGTGTGTATTTATATCACACTAACTTAATTATTTCATAAGTGTACCTACGCTATAACCTCGATTAATTATGTATTCTGACTGTTAATAGATAGCTCGATTTTAAATAGTAAGTATCATTACTGTTAAATGTTAAGAAATTGGTATATATCTATGGTTTTCTTTGCTACTTGTAATCCATTTTAATATATAAAAACAATATCGACACCTTCAAAAATTTTTGTCAATCCCTAGCATTGTTTACAGGGACACTCACACATCGAAAGTGCTTGCAGTGGTGTAACATTATGTATTGGAGTAAAATGCAGTGTAATCACTAAAAATTAAGGTTCATAATAGATAGTGCCCTATACACTTCATCGGTGTATTGCAAGTGTGTGCGAGTGTTATATCTATTTGTTTGCTTAATGCGTATGTGTTAAGATGTGGCGACATCGGTTTTGGAAATAATCGGGCACTAATTCATTTCTAGTGTCTTATTATTACGATTTCTGTGACTGGCACAGATGTGTACACAACCCTAAGGACTAAGATGAAATGCTTACAATAAACAATGTACCTTTTAAATTGGAACAGGACTGAGTGCCGTGTGGTGGTAGAAATAGCTGAGAGGGTGATATCCGAGGTGGACTTCACTTAGAAAAGGAGTCTACCACCTAGTAAACTCTTAAGCAGGTATTCAGAGACAAACTCAAGTTTTAACTCAAACTCTAATATGTCCAAAAACTTGTTGAGTACAGAGTATGGACTAAACTCAAAATACTTAAGGTCACTGCCATTAGACTCATTACATAGTGTGCTGACCACAGAGCCATGCGGTCGTCAATAAATATATAAAGTTCACAGTTGAACATTTTGTTTTATTATTTTATAGGATAGGGTAACAAACGAGCACACAGTTCACCTGATGGTAAGTGGTTCCTGCGACCATAAAGAATCATATTGCAGATGCGTTGTCACCCACGAGGACTAAGTTGGAATGACTCTTTTCCAGTAAAAAGGGTCTCGGGTGCTCTACATTCACCATACGAAACACAGCAGTGTTAAGCTGCTATTTTACGCTGGTATTCGGCGAGAGCGTGGTCCTTCCCCGGTCGAGCCGATCCATTCGTGCTATAACTATGATACTAATATAGCTGCAGCATGGCTCTACCACGTATATAGGCCTTCCCCATTGATTTGCCTTATCCACGCTTAGCAGGCGGGTTGGCAACCGCGGCTTTTAATTATTTTCAGTTGTTATCAAGATGATGCCGCTGCCCATTTCCTGCTTCGTTTCACTCTGTCGCCTTTTAAGATACACATGGGATGACATGCGGTAGTCGATTCTCTTACGCCACGACCACTATAATAGGGTGGCAATAATAAATAATTTTAAATAATGCGGAAACTAGCACGAGGAAAATAGTTGATTAAAAATTCTGAATATCGACACATTTTATTATTTTTAATATTGGTACAAACAGACACTTCAATTTTATTTATTTGTATAGATTTTTAACTTATTAACCCTCGGAGAAACTGTATGCGTTTTTGTGAGAATTTTTTATTATACCTATATAATAAACACGCTGTAAAAATGGCAGATTGAATCAAACACTTTTTTTTGGGAATTTCTGAAAATACAACTTTGGGGTAGTCTGCCCCTATGTAAACCCCTTCAGAAGTGTCTGCCATTTTTTTTCTTAATTCTTTATAAACTTGGCTGAGGGATAATCATTATTATTATGTGAATCAAACACTTTTT